AGATACCTTATACGAAAGGCCATTCTTAGTGAAAGTGACGGGTATAGTCATGGCTTTACTATTAAAGAGCTTCGTAAAGTCGAAGTATCGCATATCTCGAAGCTGACTTAAAAAAGAGGCTTTGCTTAAGCCTCGACGTTTCCCTTATTATCGAGAGCGTCGGAGTTAGCAAGAGAAAGCTCTTGGTGATCCTCAAGAGCGTCGGAGTAAGGCCCATCGTCCGAATCATTCGAATAAAGGCCGTATTCGAGTCTAGCGCCGTATTTTATCTCGTTGACTAAGTGATAGCGAAGGAGCTTCGGCGTATTCGAGTCCTTGCGGGACGATCCAAAGGTTTTGATTGCTAACTTAAAGGCGTTTTCGAAAAAAGAAAATTTATTAAATCGATTGGATCGATCTGCACTAGCGCCGGGGCTGTTAAAGGTTTAACGCTAAAGGGTAAAGAAAGAGACGAAGGCTAAGCTACTTTAGCGGTTCTCGTAATAAGTGATTTGCTTGACCGCTGCTCCTTAAGCCGAGCGGGATTCGTTACGAGCTCTATTATAAAAGCTCTTCGCGAATTAAGTATTGTACTTGGCTTGTAAAGCGTCGTAAAGCCTTGCAAACGCGTATTGGCCAGCAGCCAATTGTTAGACGGCGGTTTGAAAATCCTTAAAAGTTGTGGTCTTAACAAATTCCAAATAAAGCTGGTCGCGCAGCGTCTTAGTGATCTTAGAACGCAAGGCCTCACGTAATCGATCCTCGTCCTTGATTTCGGCGATAGCGGCAAGCTCCGAGAAAACAAAGTAGAAGTCTTAAAATTGCTAATTAAGCCTTATATAAAGTTTTTCGAACTCAATTGACGTTTTAGCTTTTTTAGCAAGGTCGTTCAAGAACTCGAAGGCGATCTAGACGAGTTCCGAGGCGGTTATAAAGTTGCTACGATCTATAACTAAAGAGGCCAAGAACAAGTAAGCTGTTCCTTTAGTTTGGTCAAAGACGTAATTCTTACGCTAGCGTTTTATAAAAAAGTATTCATCGAAAGCTTTTAAGTTGTCGAGGACGCGGGCTTGCCAGTAACGTGCTCGATAGCTTACACCGTTTGAAAGCTTTTATTTAAGGTTAAGGATCCGCTCGATACGAGCGCGACCTTAAGAAGCTAAAGAGAAGGCTCTAAGGGTATTGAACCTAGCTAGAGTGCGGAAGTTGGTTAGCTTATAAAGAGAAGGTGGTTCATCGTCGTCGGCGAAGAAGCGGCGAAAGTTAGCGGTTCCATAAGTAAAAGGAATAGCCTGGGAGACCGAAAGCCTGTATAGCTCCTTGCCTTTAGAATTATCTTCGAAAGAAACTTAAGAAGGCTCTGACGAGCGTTCCGTAGTTGGCAGAACCGCTTAAAGCTAGTCCAGTTCCTTTCGAGCTCGACGGGCCTTTTTTTCAGCCCTTTTAACGAAGGTTTTTTGCTCACTAGCGCTCTTATCGAGCTCCTCGTTGCGGGTTTTCATGTCTGCGAAGAGCTTCCTGAGCTTAACGGCCTTTCGTTAAGATTAAAAAAGAGCTTGGTATTAAGCTAAAGCTTCCTCGGAGTTAATAAAGGCCGAAGGATCATCTTTATCGTCTTGCTCACTAATAGCTTCTTCTTAAGTAAAAGGAACTGCTGGTTAGGCCGTAAAAGAAGAGGAAAGAGCTGCTAGAGCAGCTTTAAAAAGTGTACGAAAGATTTTGCCCGCGGGGCGAGGGTTGCTATGTTGTGTAAGTGCTATCCTTTAAGTTGTACTTAAAATAAGCCTTTTCGTGACCGTTAGAGTCGTTTGAATGTTTTTTAACGTCCAATCATTAAGGAATTCTAAAAAAAAAGAATATTATTAAAGCCGTTCTCGGCGGAATAAAGTAGTTGTTAATAATATAACGATCTTAAGCGATTACCTAAAGGAACTCACGAGAGCGCAAGGTTCACATAAAAGCTTAAGAGAATCTTAAAGTAATGACTTAGAATCAACAACTACCGAGTGTAAAAGTCGAAAGTAGCTAAGGTCTATATATACGAAAGTAAAAGCGCTAAGGACTCGTAAACTATGGTTCATAAGTCAAAAGCGGGGAATAAGAAAATACGAAGAATACGAAGGAAAAAAGGAGGGAAGTAGCTTGGCGCATGTGAGGTGCGTCTAAAAGACCTGGCGTGTCGTCACACTTTTTCGATATTACGTAGCTTCGGCTCGAATAAATATCGGCCGCATTGATTTCGTAGACCCGATATAAAGCGATCTTTTAAGTCTTTTCGTATTAAGCTGCTTTTAATAAGTTTATATAAGCCTTTTTCGATACGAGTGCGAAGCTATTAATAAATTTTAAATAAATATTAATTTTCGCTAATTATTTTATAAAAGCTTTAATTTTTAAATTAAAATCGATAAATAAAATAATCGAATTCGCAACGGTAATGCTTGCGCAGTAAAAAAGAAAAGCATAAGTATTATCGAAGTGAATGCTATAAAAGAATAAAACGTATAAGTTTCGCTTATTTTCGAAAATAATAAACGATATTTAAAAACGAAAGTTTTCGTTTTAATAAAGATTATAACGAAAAAAAGCTTTAAAGATCTTAACGTAACCGTATTTTTTAATTTGTTTCGTAATAATTTATTTTTGCTTAATTAAATCGCTTATTATAATATATATTATATTATAAGATTATAAGTGATTTTTTTAAAGTTTAACGTTCTTTTAAGTTCGATTTTGCATCGATAGCGATAAGCACTCGAAGAACTTCCATTTTAATTGCTTATCGATAATATCTTTATTAATTAAGCAAGCAAAGCTCGTAAGATTAAATTATTAAGTAAATTATAAAAGCTCCGCTTTAAAAGCTTTTTCCTTTGCTATCTACTTATTGCTTAAATCGTTTAAGAATCTAATACTATCTTTTTATTTAATTAAGTCGAATACTTTATATTTTTTTTTAATTATCGATTTAAAATCGTTTTAAATTACTTTCGAATTCGAAAAGCTTTCGAAGCTTTCGATATTGCAACGTATATTATAACCGAAAGGATTAAAAATATTATATTTAAAAAAACATTGCTTTTTTTTTAATCGTTAACGATATCGTAATCTTTAAACGCTCGTTCGAGCTAGCGAATATAATCCGTAATATTAGCTTTATCGAAAGCAAGCATTTTAAAAGCTTTAAGTTTAAAAAGAAGTCTACGAATACTTACGTAGTTCGAAGCGTTTACGAAAAGTAAAAAGACTTAAACCCTTTTTATTTCGTTTTCGATTAGCTTGCGAATAGCACTTTCGTTAAATTCGAAATCTTTTTAAATCGAAAAAGTTATAGCTCTTTTTAATTTCTAAAAGCTTTAACGTAAGCCCGTTAAATTAAGTTAATAAATATTAATTAAAATATAAAAGTGTTTCGAAATAAATGCGAAAAAGGAACGAGAATAATATAAATATAAATAAATAATAAAAATAAAATAAATATAATTTATAATAAATATTAAATACATAAAAGAATATTATAAAAATATAAAATCCCGATGCATCGAAGATAATTTATTAAAGAGTCGAGTATCGATCGCTTCGAGCTAAATAGCCGAAATCAAATCGATATAATAAATGATATTAATAATACATTTAACTTTGTAACGTAAGATCCGTAATAAGCGGAAAAGTAATTGCCGAGATTAAATATATCGAAATGAAAACGAGGTCGGTAATAGCCGAGTTTTCGTGCAAGCATATAGCTTGCTTTTAATATAATGCGATACCGAAACGGTTTCGAATTATATAATACTTATTTCCGCTCGTCGTATTTTTTATTTATTAAAGCGAAAGATATTCGAAAGCAATTCGAAGTCTTTATGCGTAATCTTTATTATAAAGTAAGTATTAAATCTTAACTTCTTAAGCTTATGTTGATTTATAATCATTACTTTGCCTAGAATATTCTAAGGTGTTGATTTGTAATCAGCACTTCTAGAACTTTTTAAGCGAAGTCAAGTGACTTACCAGAACCTTCAGGAACATTCTACTTGATTTTGATTTGTAATACTATTACGTATTTTATGAGTCATATAGAAGGCTTTAGAACTACTTAATAGTCTATATAAGACCTTGAAAGGTCTTTTGTATTTACTTTAAGCAAGCAAGCAAGCAAGCAAGCAAGGCAATTTGGACTCGTCTTTTTCTTACCTTAATTTCTTATTTAAATTTCATATGGTAGCAATTTAATTTCGACACCTTAGGCATCAAATTCTCGCTTAGCACAAATCTCTTAACCTTAGGCATCAAATTCTCGCTTAGCACAAAACCTTTTCGCTAACTCTTCGAGAATCTTCGACGAAATTGTTTAAACTTTAAGCAACTTTACGTCAAAACCTTTGATTCTGCTAAGCTCGGGGCGGAATAACGTCTTTCCGGTCGATTATAAAAGCGAGCCTTATAAGCTATAAGCTTCCGCCTTTTTTGTTCTAGCTTTCGCGAGAGAAAAGCTAGTATTTTGCTTAAAAGTAAGCTATACTCCTTTGGGCCTTATTAACCAATTAAGATTTGTACCCAATCATTGAGGCTCGAGTCCTTGAGACTAAGTATTAGCGAAAGCATAAGCTAGTACTTCTAGAAGTAATAAGAGAGCAAATTGCGGCCTTAAACTACGGTTTAAGCACTATTACCTAGTTTCTTATACCAGGGTGCCTAAACCTACGCGGCAATATAAGTATTGAACCTCTTATTGTGGCTAGCGGTAGGGAGTAGCTATTAGACTGATCTTAATTCATACTAGCTTATTGATTTTCGGCTATATCGCTATTAAGAAGCCATCTTCGGAGAGGGAATAACGA